GAACACACACACACACACACACACACACACACACACACACACACACACTCGACTCTGGGGAGAGCAGATGCTGGGGGGCAGGAGGTGTGGACCAGCCCAGGAGCAGGGTGCCCGGAAGTCAGGAGTGGGCAGTGCAGCAGGGGCAGAAAGAGAATCTCTTCTTCCTCCTGTGGCCTCACTCAGGCCCACCCCACCCGTCCATCCGGGCTGGGAGTGCCTGCCCCTGAAGTCAAACCTGTCAACCAAGCTGTCACCCATGCCTTCCTGCTCGCCTTCCTGCTCGGCTGGGGACAGAAAGGGGCATGTGCCAGGAAGTGTTGCCAGGCAGGGGTGGTGGAGCACGGGTGAGTTTACTGCTCCTCAGGAACACAGCTCCTTTCCCCATTTTTTCCTCGAACCTGGGTGGGGCTCCCTCACACTCTAACACAGCCTCGCTGCAAGGCGCCTCTTGCTTTTCGGACCTGTCTCTTCCTTCCCTCATCTTCTCCAGCCAGCACACTCCTCCCCACCCCCCACCCTGCCCCGGACTGACCCTCTGCCCTCCAGCATTCCAGTTTGGGCCCTTCTGTGCTCTGGGAGGCCTTAGCAGGGAAGAAAATCACTGCCGGAAGGATGGACTCCAGACATCAAAAACACCCCCTGGAAATCACCTTAAAACTGAACAAGAGTTGAGCTTAACTAGAAGGCAAAAAACCCCAAACAAACAAAAAAATAAGGTCTGCCTTGAGTACTGTACCCTCTTAAAAAACGATCTACCTAGGACCCAATCGACAAAACCACCTGGAGGGTCCCCAGGAGAAAGCTTCTGCTCCGTGACAACTTAGTCTTGGAAACCCCCAGGGGCAGCTCTGCCCTGTCCTATGGGGTCCTTATGAGTCAGCATGGGCTCAAAAGCAGTCAGTGTGGTTAGCTTTGGGTTTACTCAAAGCTGAGTTAGGATGCTAGGGGGCGGGGAGGAGGCGAGTCCCTGGGCGAGGAACAGTTCAGAAGATGAGCCTTGAGTGGGTCCAGAATGCCACTGAATGACGTTCAGACTTGTTGAATTGGTGCATGCTTTCCTGCGTAGATTCTCCACCACCACCACCACCACCAAGTAAGTCACACGTGGAAGGGCCAAGAAGGCAGTGGAAAAGTCTTAAGGGTCTGGATAGAAGCGGTAGGCCCCAGGCTGAGGAGACCTTTCAGGGTGGGGATGGGCATCAGACTGGATTTGAGTCAGGCCAGCCTTCATGAACCTCTCTGGGCTTCCCACCAAATCTTCGAGGCATCCTGAGAAAGGTCCGGGGCAGCGGCTGGATTGATAAGGCTGTCTATGTGTGAGAAGAGTGAATGGGGAGGGGGCGGGGGTTCCTGAGAGCAAGCAGCAGGTGAGTGGTGATCGAATGAGACCACAAGGGAGCAACCCAGCCCAGGGAGTGCAGCACCCAGGAGAGAGACCCCTGTGGGAGCAATGTTTCTTTGCCAAGCCCCCTGGTGCTGTCTACTTTCATTTTCAAGGGCTCTGCCTTGCAGATAGCAGGACCAAGAAACCAGGGGCCGACAGGAAGAGAGTCTACCACCCTTGGGCTCCTTAGCGAGGGGACAGCTTATTGGCATAAGGACTTGGGAACCCCATTGTCTCAGTGTAGCTGAGAATTGTGGTCTGCGCACCTCTCTACTGCTCCCCCTCCTCACATACACACAAAACAAACAAACCCTCATGGCCATCCAGTCAATCCCGACTCCCAGGGACCCCACAGGACAGGGTGTAGCTGCCCCTGTGGGGTTTCCAGCACGGAAACTCTTTGGGGGAGTAGAAAGGCTTGTCTTTCTTTTATAGCATGGCTGGTGGTTTTGAACTGCTGACCTTTTGGTTTGCAGCCCAATGCCTAACCTCTCACAAAGGCTGGCAGCAAAAGGGAGTTAGATGCCCTGCAGGAGCCTAGGACAAACAGAAGGAGGATGCAAAAAGGCTGCTGCCTCGCAACACCCTTCCAAGTCCATCCGTTGGCCTACTCTGGGTTTCCCACAATGCCACAGCAACTTCCGGCCACGTGGGGGAAGTTGGAGGGGAGCACCGTCCGTTGGCCATACACTGGGTCTCGATCCTGCTGCCAGGTTGCTTGTGCATGTTGTGTGGAAAGGCAGACAGATCAGAGGGAACAGAAATGGGCTTTCTGAGAAGAGAGGAAGACCCAACAGTGGGGGGCAGGGGAAAAGTTGGGGCTCTTGACCAAACAGACAACTAACCACAAGCAACATGGATGCCTGCTCAGTTGCTCTGAGACACTGGGACACTCATTCTAGATGGCCCTGGTTTGTTCGCTGCTCCCTACCCCATGACTTCCTGCCCCACTGAAGGCCATCTTAGCGTGGGAAAGGGGAATACAGGTTTAGACGCCTTAGAAATTGTCCTGCTTTTTTCGGGAATCATCCCTTTTGCTGACTCTGAATGCAGAGTAAGAACCCCCCGGTGGTGCCCTGTCCTGGCCCTTCTGCACCCACCCCACCCCATGATATTATTGTAGCCAGCTGCAGCAGGCCGGCTGCGGGAGGGAGGGGGTGTGTGTGTGACAAAGACAAACCAGCTGTTATCATCCAGGATCACTGAATCCTAGCGTTGGGGTGACCCTCAGTGCTACGCAAGCGCCGTCATAATCCTCTCCACTGCCAGGATTATTACCCAGAAAAGAAGCCAGCTCTTTCCCCGTTCACCAGTGGCCGCTGGCTCTGCACCCCTACGTGGGCACCCTATTTTAGAACTCACAAAGTCTAAGCATGTGAGCCAAGGTGGCAGGAAAGGGGTGGAAGAGGTCCAGAGAAATGGCCACTTCAGTCCTGCTTCTCCTCCTCCGGGTGCTCAATGCCCTAGGAGGTGAGGCAGGATCCAAAGGCCATTTCCCCAGTTGTAGCTGGCTTCCTAAGCTCCACCAAGGATGGTTCTCATGGTAGCAGCTCAGGGATAGGGGTGGGGGGGGAAGCATAAGATACTTTGGCAGGCAGTGCACACCATCCTCATTAGCAAAGGGCAAAGTTCTCTGTTAAAGCAGAAGGAAACCCCTGATACCAGCCATTTCAGGGCCTTGGGCTCCGGGCATGGTAAGACATGCCATGCCGGCAGCACTCTTGGCTCATCTGTAGGGCTGGCTAGGCGTAGGGGAAGTCATACTGAGCTCATCTCGTCCTGAGAGAGTTCATGGTTACTAGTTCGAGACACACTGTGGAGTCCCATGGGACAAAAGCCAAATGGCCCTCTGCCTATATTTCCCTGAGTCCCTCGGACAGCCCAGCACTCAGCAGGAGTTTGACACACGTTACTGATTAACTGTGGTGAGCCCCGCATCTTCAGAAAGCTGTGCGTGCCTTACCCTGCCTCGTGTCCCCTTTCACCAGGGCACACGGTTTTCTCTGCCTCTTGGACCCAAAAGTTCCAATCCACAGTAAACACTAACATAGCATGCCCTTTGCCTCTTAGCTTCCAGGACCTGCCAGTTCTAATCCTTAATTCCATGGCAGCCACACAGCCTCTGTGCCCTGAGTAGGGTCATGAAAGACAGGGGACAAGCAAAGAGGAGATAGTTCTGCCCAGGTCTGGTTACATCTCCTCCCCTTTTACACCACATAATTATCACTTTGGGGTCTTGTCGCCCCAGGCCTCCAAGTCAAAGAACAGGCTGCATGTGCCCCTGCCCACATCCCTGCCAGCCACACCAGGCTACAATCAGATAAGCAACACAAAAATGCCTCTAAGAGCCCGCCCACTTAGAGACCCTCTGGCCTTAGAGCAAATTCCTGCCCAGCAGGGGAACGGAGGGGAGACTGGAAACGGAGCCTTTTACTTTGGGAATCCTTGAAACCCCAAGTGAAGGGAGAAGGGATGAGAGGAAACCTGTCTGAAGGGCTCCTGTGGGGCTCGGCTCAGCAGGAAAGCCCAGGAGGGTGGGCTCCCACTTTCATCTCTCCTTTCCCAAGACCGAGGGCTGGAACCCATTCTGCTACTGTGGGGGCAATACCGCCCTGACCACCTCCCTCCCCGGGGCTGCTCCGCTTCCTTGAGGGCTCTGTAGAAACTAACCAGGCCAAGAAGAAAGCAAGGCCAGGGTCCAAGGGGAAAGAGTATTCTAGGAAGCGGCAGCGGCTTCTGGCCTGGAGCAGAGGCCATGAGTGAGAGCCGTCTTTTCCCGGGAGGAAAAGGTGGCTCGTGGACCCAGGTCCTACCTGCACGATGTCCAGCACCATGCCGGCGGCCACCGTCCCAAAGCCTGCCAGGAGGAAGGGAAACAGCACTTGCAGCCCGATGGAGAAGGAGGTCTCCTTCAGCGGGGAGGGCGGCGTGGGGCCGCGGTCCGTGCTGACGTCGTCGCTCTCGTTGCTCTGGCTCCCGTTCTCCAGCAGGGCGTCCTCCTCCCGAACCCCCTTGGCGTTGGCGCGAGACTCAATCACCACCACCTCGACCCCAGGCCCGTCAGGCCCCAGGAACTCCGAGGTTCCGGCCAAGGGCTCTCGCCCAGGGCCCTCTGCAGAGCAGGGTGCGGCAGTGGGACCAGTCCCATTCAGCTGGTGGACTTCCTTCGGCTCCGGTTTGGAGGACATGACGGGCATGGAGGAGGGGAAGGAGGCGCTCTCCTCCTCTCCTGCTTGCTTTCTCCCCCTCGAACTTGGAAAAGAACTTAGTCTTGGGGCGAGCCCTGGCTTGGGCGCCGCAGGACCGCTTCCCACGGCTCTCGGCTCCCACCGGGCACTGCAAGAACTGATCCACTAACAGGCAGCCCCATCAAGCACTGCAGCCCCAAGCTGAAAGGAAACACGAAGCTCCTCACCAGACTCAGTGACCGGCCACTAGGGGGGCAGAAAGCCTGCCTCCAGTGGGCCCGCGCTGTGCTGAAGGGGGGATGTTCTCTGGCTTCTTATCTTCTTTGGTTCTCAGGAGCAGGCTCCCCCGAGCAGGGGGTGGGGGGGCTTCGGAGCAGAAAAGCCCCGCCAGATCTAAGGTACCATTTGAGGTGGGCCCTCTTTCACGAGCAGTGGCTTGAGTTCGATCTTTCAGAACACAGCCCCCTCGGCCTGGAGTTGCGGCTCCTGCCCACTCTTCTTGCTTGGGCCCGAGGGCTCCCCACGGCACCTCAGGCTTTGCTGGTCCCAGGGCAGAATCTGCCGTCTGTGCCCTCTCTTCCTGGGAACACCTTGTGCTGCTTCGAAACCCTGGTCCTTACAGTCACAGGAATCGGTGCGGTGCACCTTATGGGGAGAGGAGAGAGAGAGAGGGAAGGTTACGATTCGGCAGAGGACTGCTGATCCTGGGAGACTTCGCCCCCGAGAGGTATACCTGCCTTCCTGCCTTCATTTTCCCCCACTTAAATGACTTATCTGGCATTGCCACATGTGCTCCTGCCACAGCTGGAAGCCCAGCAGATGTGCTCCTCGCCACCCTTCAGGACCACAGGGATCCCACCATACTCAACAGCAAGGAGACATGACCAGCCTGGGGTTGGGCAGATGCTGTAGGGGAGACCTTGGCTTGGTCTGTTCAGCAGCTAGGGATGGGCAGTGTTGTCCTGAGGGAGAATCCTTCTAGGCACTCATTATGAGCCCAGGCTCCTTTCTGCGTGATCTCCCAGTGGGGTCAGTCCCACGTTCAGCCATAACTCTGCTGGCACACAGCTGCCAGCAATAGAAGGTTGTTGTTTATCTCATCAGGTACAAGCACCCATATGACAGCAGCACAGGACACCCGAACAGGGAGAATCTATTAAGCGAACACCTGCAAATGATAAACACCAAGCTTTATAGCGACCTTGTAGGGCAGAGTAGAACTGCCACTTTGGGTTCCCCAGGCTGTAAATCTTTAGGGAGCAGAAAGCTTCAACTTTCTCCTGAGGACCGGCTGGTGGCTTTGAACTGCTGGCCTTATGGCTAGCAGCCCAACTCATAATCCACTACGCCACCAGGGCTCGTAGGCAAAGATTCCCAGACCCTCCCAAATGTCCTAGCCCAAGAAAGAAATCCTTCAGGGCTCATTCCCTGGGCAGTGGGGCTTGCCAGACAAACACCAGGAGCCAGCGGCCTACGCAGTCTTGCCCTTGAGAGTCAACAGTGTTACAGAAAGCTTTCCAGCACCTGTCTCCTCCTCTCTCCCTCTGCTCCTGGCCCTAGGAACTGGTCAGATTCGAGGAGAGTGTTAGGAAAGATTACTATTACCCGCACACTGCCGTTCCCTAGGCTCCTCTGTTCCCCAGTTACCGAGGACTGCATTTTGTACAACTCTCGAAACAAAACACCAACCAACCAACACAGAACACCGAAGCACACGGCCAAAGCACACTTGCTCCTGAGCCCATGCCCTGCTCCTGAGATAGAACAACGCCACTTCTCTTGCAGGAACTCTGGGCGTGAGTCCTATCCTCTGCACCAGAAGAACTCTTACAAGTGTGTGGGGGCGGGAATTAAGGAGAGTTTCCCCAAGTAGGATGAATAGGCCCTTCAGTATTCAAAACACATTCATTCAGTCAACTCCACTTTGAGAAAGGCTGGAGAGGAACCCAGATAACTGGCCTATAGGAATGGTTTTTCCCTTTCAGGGGCCATACTGTTTCCTAAAACCTCCTTTAAAGAGTCTTTTTTTTTCCTTCTCCCTAGGGCTCTGGCTAGACACTCAAGAGGAAGACTTCGGTGCTAGAAAGCAGGGCAACGTCTGAGTCACACAGACACCGACCTCTCCTTCCCTCCTCCTGGCTTCTTGGCAGGCGGCTCAACCTGAAAGGGGGCTCCAAAGAAGGGCTCACCCCACTTTTCCCAGGAAAGAGATCTCAGACAGGCCTAAGAGCAGGATGAAAGCAGCGAACCCCAACCAGAGCGCCCTCCTCCCTCCGGGTCAGTATCCCCCAGCCCGGGAGGGGGAGAGTAACTGGGTGGCCTCTCAAGATTCGGCCTCAGCAAATACGCTGTGAGCCAGGGCTCCCGCCCTCCGCCACTCAGCCCCCCTCAACACCACCCCTCTTCCGCCCCCGCCCCGACCTAGGACTGACCTGCGCCTCGCTGGGGAGGAAGGGGGGCGCCTGGCGAGTGGCAGCAGGGACCCGTGGTCTCGGGGGGTGCAGGGTACCCCCTCTTTTCATCACTCCTCCTCGCTAGTCCTCCTCGGCCCCCAGCGTGCTCCCCTTCACCCCCAGCCAAGGCGAGCGTCCAGCCGCGACCCCCGGCCCGCTACATCTCGCCTCCGCGTTACCGCGAGGCCGCCGCAAGGCTTCCACGAGCGGGAGGTGGCCGCGGAGGGCAGGATATACCGCTTCGGGCTGGGGGGGCGGGGGGCGGGCGGTGTACCCGGACTGGGGACTCTGGGGCTGAGCTCACTCGCCCCCAATCGCTTCTTCCCCGCCGACTTGGGCAGCACTGGTTGGCTCCGGTGGCAAACGTGATCTGGGGCAGACTGGGTGGCAACCCCCCTCCATCAAAAATAGATTCTGGATGGACGGCATCAGCAGCCAATCAGGAGCCAGGGAGGGGGCGGGTTCGGCCTGGGCCCCGCCCCTTTCCTTCGCTTTGTGCCCCAGAGGCGGGGCGCCGGGAGACGCAGTACAGCGAGTGACGCGGACGGCGAGCCCGCGCTCGGGCCCGGCGGCTCGCGGGTCCCCGCGTCCCCGTCCGGTGAGCGTCTTCTCCTTCGTCCCGAGTGTTTCCGTTGAGCCCCCCACCCCCACCACCCCCGGCCTTCGAGAACGCCGAGAGAAGACCCTCGCGGAGCTAGCCGGCCGGCCAGGCCAGCTCCAGCCCAGCGGGCTCGGCCAGCGCTCCCATGCCCCTTACCCTCGCTCAGTACTGCCGAGAACCGCCCCTACCGTGTTCTCGGAAAGAGCTCCCGCCAGGTCCGCGGTCCCCCAGGCCACAAGTGGCTCAGCCCAAAAGGGACCGGCCTTAATAAAGTCCTGGCCTTGGAAGGGGTGGGGTGGGCGGGCGAGAAGGACAAAAGGTCAGGCTCCGAGGGCCCGGGGTTCCACACACATCACCTGCCGGAGGGGCGGAGGGCGCCGGGGTTCCTTTGATCCGCCGATCCTGGTGACAGTTTGCAGAGAGGTGTCTCCATCCCGAGCCAACCGACATCCAACTTTCCCTGACGCACCGGGCGGGATCAAAGAGGGGTGTTCCCATGGTCGCTTGTGCCGCTTCCTCCCTGGGGTATCTTCACCTCTCCTCAGCACCAGTTCACTTTGGGATGTTTTTGTGCAGGGCGTGTGACCCCTCCTAGAGGCACCCCCCTCCCCTAGTTTCCCCCTGTTGCTGGTGAAACCTGTGACCAGTGGCTCCTTCCTGCTCTTTTCCTCCAGGGAAGTGTTTGGGGGCAACCCACTGGTACTCCAGAACTATGGATGCAATTTGGAGCAGAGATGGCCCTGGAGAGGAGAGAGGAAAATTTCAGCTCCCTCTTCCTTCTGGGGAGAAACACCTGGCTTTCTACTCCGTTAAGCGTAATAGTCTCAGGCCTCAACTAAGTTCGCATGAAAGAAGTACACCAGCTTCTGTGATCAAAGGATTGTAACTGATAGAATCCAAATCTAAATCTGAATGACATCAGATTTAATTGTGAACACCTGGTTTGCAGAAGGCTGTGGATGACAGTGGAAGCCCCAGATCTGTTTTCAGGGTCCCCAGATGGATTAAGGCTCTGGCGAATCCTCTCTGATTATAGTTGAGAGATGTGTGTAGTAACACACATCCGTAAAGTCAATTATGGCAGATAAGGTTAGGTCCAAATCTAATACCATTTGATCTCCCTCGTCACCCATTTGAAAGTTGTTTCTTTTTTTTTTTTTAGGTGAAGGGGAAATATATGTGGATTAAGGCCCTGGTGAATCCTCTCTGGCCATGGACCAGGGATGTGAATATCCTTGCTAACATGCAGAATGCACTGGAAAATAGAGCATTGCAGATGCAGTTAGGTTAAAATTTAGCACTCTGGCTTATGATCCATTTAAATTTATTTTAGTTTTGAATATTTTCTGCTTCTCAAGTAAGGTTTTTATCTGTCATACCTTGTAATTCTTGTTGTTTTTAAAAATGTTCTTCTGGATATGAAATCCAGATAGGCATATCTATAGAGACAGTAACTGGATTAATATCCTATCAAGTCACTGTGAGTCACAATCAGCTCGATGGCAGTGAGTTTGTTTTTGGCGTTCCTTTTGCTGAGACACACAAAAGCACAACCTGAGCAGGCCAGGCTTTCACCTTTGGATAAAGATGAGAACGACACTGTCCTCCAGGGGGATGAACAACAGAAACTGCAGGGGCAGGGAGACATCGGTCATTGTAAGATATGAAAACAATAACGCACAATTTATCAAGGGGTCACAAGGGTGGGGTTGGGAGGGAGGGGAAAAAGAGGAGCTGATGCCAAGGGCTCAATAGAAAGTAAATGTCTAGAAAATAATGATGGCAACATAAATACAAATATGCTTGATATATTGACCCTATAGGATACAATTGATGTATAAGAGTATTGCTTATATCTCCACAGGAAAAGAGGGACCAGACTTCAACCCAGTGCTCCAAGGTGTGAATACAACATGCCGGCGCGGAGTAGGGAACCAGTGGAGAAGTCTGGGGGGCTGGCCCCAGACCCAAATACTAAGTGGATGCCTGCCCCTCCCCCTGAGAAGAAGTTATTTCAAAGGATGGCACTGAATCCACAGCACTGGAAGAAGGATATATCTGACCAGAGCACACAGGAGCAGATGACGGGGGAGGAGGAGAGACTGGAGCACATCC